CTGACAGGATTTTTGGAACTAGGAAGGTAGATTTTAAAGTTAACACAAAAAGGGATGGGCTCATTGGGTAAATGCAAAAGTATTCCTTCTTTTCTTCGACACTCAAGATTATCATGATTTACCAGCAGCGTCATCTGAAGAGTCTTCATCGTGAGGTATTGTGGGCCGTCTACTTCTTTTGACTTTCTCAGGTAAAGCACTGGAAGGCTCTTTCACCCGCATCTGTTATTAACTGAAAAGATTGGAGGAGAAAATGAATATACTTTAACCTTGAAAATTCAATTATATATATATTTCCTTGATACACATGAAAATGGAAAGGACTTCATTTTTAATTGGTCTAGAATATAAACAGAAGAAAAGGGGAACATCAATTAAGACCCAAAGAACTAAATCTTTAGTAAGCCAATATAAACATGATACATTCCTTGATTTCCTGAGGGTATGGGAAAAGAGGGTGGGGACTGAAAGCAATGATGACTGTATAACTCCACTCTAGGGGAATGAATAACAGAATTGTGGGTGAACGGATCCATTGGATGGTGTAAGATAGGGCAAATTAATAATAATATATAATAATAAGGGTTGATGGTGTAGAGTCGGGGAGGGAGGGGATAAAGGGGAGCTGAATTCAAGAAGAAAAAAATGTTTTGAAAATGATGGTGGCAGCAACTGGACAATTATGCTTGATCTAATTCAATGATGGATTGTTATAATATCTGTATGAGCTACCAATAAAATGATTTTTAAAAAATGATGCATTCCATTTTACTCTTCACTAACTACTCCCTAAATACATGAAGCCCTGGTGGCAGAGTGAGCTAAGCAACTGGACTGCTTACTGTCGGGCTGGCATCTCAAATCCACCAGCCACTCTGCAGGTGCAGATGAGATTGTCTATTCCAAAAAAGGTTTAACCTCAGAAACCCAAAGGGTTCACTTTATCTTTCAGGATCATTATGAGTTAGAACTGATTTGATGATATTGGGTTTTTCCCTAAGATATATGATGTCCAGTTACATGACAATACTAAAATTTGAGGTGAATGAAATGGCAGAAGTGATTATTACAGTTCCTGGGCCATCCCCATGCTTGTCGTTTGCCCTGTCCCACTAGTTAGCAGATAGTAGAAGCTGAGTCACATTAGACCAGGAACGGAAGGCAGAGGGCAAATACAATAGAGGCAGCCTATCTGTGCTGTACTCACTATCTCTGCTCCATTGAGAGAAACATAGATTTGTATGTTCTTTAAGTTACTGCACTGCTTTCTGAGCACTCCTGCTCAACTTTTATTATTACAAACAAAATTTTAAAAAGCTAAGGGTATGCCAAATACCCATTTACAAGATCATAAAACCACTAGCAACTTACTATATTTGTTTATCCACTATCTACCCACACACACAAAGACATATATAACAATACTATGTACACAGAGAAAGAGACATACATACATATACATGGATGTGTGTCTATTTTTGTTTAAACTTTTTATTGTGACTTGGGTAAAAGTTAACAAATCATCAGTTTTGCATCCAACGATTCATGTACAGTTTGATCTTATTCGTTGCAATCTTCTCAATGTAGTATCAGCCATCCCACCTCCTCCCAGTTCCTTGTCTCCATTCCTCCTTCTTTCATAGCCCTTCTGAACTTTATCCTTGGTAAATGCTGCCCCCTTGGATCCAAATGACTAGTTATTCTACGGTAAGCATACATCAATAGTGTTATTATTCCCTTTCTAGACTGTTGGGCTGACTAGAGAAACAAAACCAGTG